GTGCCGCCCGCGGGAGCCCCAGCCAGCCCAGCGCTGCAGGGAGAGCTTTGCCTTAATCTCTGCTGGGCTGGGGGGGCACGGTGAGCAGCAGCAGGCTGGCCCTGTGCCCCCCCGCCCCGTCCCAGCTTTTGCTAACCCTTCTTGTCTTCCGACAGCACTGATCCTCTGAGAGGGTGCGCTTCTGCCGGGGCAGGGCAGCTTCTGTATTAAGAGATCAGAGCTGGCTTTCTCCCAGCCTACGTGAATGGATTTGGTGTCAAGGGCAAGGAAAGGCGGCTGCTGTCGGCCCAGGGCAGCACCCACCCACCCGCTCCCTGGTGAAAGTGTTACCAGCCCCAGGTGAGGCTCCCGCCTTTCCCTCCGAGAGTCCCCAGAAACCCTGAACACGCTCCCGCAGGCCTGGAGCGCAGAGCCTGCCGGAGCCCTCCGCTTACCCCCAGCATCAGTGACGGTTTCCTTCGGCCCCAGGGCGAGCGAGTCTCTTCAGTGCCTATGTGGGACTCAAAACTTAACTTCCCATTTCAGGCAAGTTTATAAGTGAGCTTAAATTAGAATGTCATCTGATGAGGCAGAGTTCCCACATCCACTGTCTTATGACAACCAAACAGATCTAATGAACAGCGATAGTTAAGAGTGGATTCCTAGGGTAGAGCAAGTGGCCCTCGAATAAGTAAGGGCTATCGCCTGGCTGCTGAGGGCAGGAGAGAGAAGAAATAAACTGTTACTGGCTGTTGGGAGTTTAGACTCCTATTTCAAACTTAATTTAATTCTTCTGGAGAAAGAGTCCCTCTAGGAGCAGCCAAAGTTTAATCAGTAACACAACAGCGATTGAGCTCAATTCTCAGTATCTTAGTCATACAGAGAAGCTGCTGCAACCGATTAGAAACCCCATTTCATTGAAATATTGCATGGAGGCATGAAAATTCCAGTGTGGAAAGGCAACAGTCACTTCATCATTCTAGACCCCGTGTTAACGCATCACCAACTCTCATATTCAAAGCCTTTTTAGAGAAATTTAATAGTTGGGGGACTAATAACCACCCACAACCCTTAATTCTGAGTGATTATTCTAAACACAAATTAACAGATCTGGGCCATTACTACTGAGAACTGAGTCATCCATAGGGGTGGGAGAAAAAAAAAAAAAAAAAGGCAATACTCCATGGGAATGTCTCAGGATTAACTGCTTTTGTATGTTTCCAAACACTTTGTCAATAGCATCCCCTCCGTAATAAATTCCTTTTCTAGTTCCTTTCACACTGTTTACAGGCAGATCACTCAGAAGTTTAGAATATACACTCAAATAAGATTTTCCAAGTTACAAGAATTATTATTCACTTCAGGTAATTTTATTCTTTATATTCTCTACATATTTGAATTTTTACTTGGTAAAGTCATAACAGAATGTGTAAGTATTTAAAATAAAAAAAACCAAACAACAAAACCACAACACAAATCAAAGCCAGCAAACAGTTGGTCCCCAAAGAATAAAGCAAGCAATCAGTTCAATAAACACACTTGATTTATTTTGTATAAAAAGGGTTAAGTTTACAACTAAACTTTTATGAAAAGTTTAGCATGATTAAGTACATCATTACACTTTTTGCAGAAATGTGCATTTCTGCCACTATACAAGAAAACTCTAATTAAAGAGTTCACAAGGTTTCACTCATATATATATATTTATATATAAATATATACACAGCATTCAGTCCTAGGTTTGTGTCAAAAAGGTAATTTCTGACCACAGACTTTCCTAAAAAACTGAACACTGGATCCTTCTGGTACTCACGCTCCACCTTTGGAAAAAAAAGGCAAAGTCTGCTTTAAAATGGGCAACTCCTTGTGAGATTTTTGTTTCGCTCCCCACGTTGGGAATAGTATATAAAGGAAGCCTTCCAACTAGGGAAAGGGTATTTAAGAGTCTCTTCATAAATAACTAGGTTCAGTCCAAGTTGAAGAACAGGGTGGGGATAAAGATCAATCTTGCTTTTTTTTTTCTTCTGTATTAATTTTAAAAGGTCCTTTTAGTTAAACGTGGATTTTCCCCTCCAGATACAGCTGAAAAATAAATTCAGCACCTCAAAAAAAAAATCCTGTAGACATTTTCTTGTGCAAAAAAAAAAAAATCTCATCAGTGGAACACCTGCAAGAGATTGAAAAGAGGCATATTTAGGAGAATGCTAACAGGGCAGAGATCCGGACAGACTGGCGCCAGAGAGGAAGCCACAGTTTGAACATTTAACCAAACACTCAGAGATTGGGCAAACCCTGGCGTCCAGATGCAACACATACACGCTCACACACTCGCTCTCAAGAGCACAAATTGAACATTAAAATAACATACACTCGAGGGAAAGGGTAGGAAGAGGATTCTCCGTCCAATCTCTATTTAGATCTCTGTAAATGCAATGCTCAGAGGCGCCAGTCCGCCTCTTACAGCAATTACTTGATTAAAAGCAGTCACTTATTTAGCTGATAGCGCAGACAATCCCACATCACAGAATCAAGGAATTCCACCAAGATTCCCCAACTTCAACAGTCGCTTTGGCCCAGGAAGTTAAAAGACTCCAAGATAACGAGAGAATCTGCCTTAAGCAGCAAGTTGTACGGGAGCTGCTTAATGAACCTTAGCAGGGAAATACACGCTTCCGACTGTTAAGGCTCAGCTGTTAGACCCGATCTCTTACTGACGGTAAAGGCATCTCCCAAGCAACTTTTGGAGCCGGTTTTTCGGAGCAGCAGCCCTCGCGCCTCCCGCTCCCCGGGGAGGCTACTTTTTACCTGAAGCTTAGGGGTGGGGAGGGCTGCACTCACCGTTCGATTCAGCCACAAAGCGCTTTGCTGTCGCTCGACATGAGCTCTGAGGGGAACTCGGACGCCTGCGAGGAGAAAACGAGACCGGGGTAAGGGCGAGGGGCCCGGGAGGTAGCGAGAGGATGCTGATGTCCGTGTTCAGCGTGGTCAGCGGGCTCCTGGAGGAGGGGCTCTGCCCGGGCCGCTGGTGGTGGAGGCTGACGATGCTGGGGTGCGAGTCCAGGGCGATCTGCAGGTCCAGGATGTAGTCGATAACGTGCTGCAGGATTTCCATCTTGCTCACTTTCTTGTTCTGCGGGATGCTGGGCACCAGCTCCTTCAGCTTGGAGTAGCAGTCGTTCATGTTGTACAGCAGGCTCATGGGGTCGTCCACGGGGGTCTTGCTGCGGGAGATGCCCAGGTTGTGCTCCGAGAGGCCGTTTTTCCGGACGGACCGCACCGGGCTGAAGGCTTT